CTGAGGAGGATTGACCAAATATTTTCCTATTTCTGTTGGATTACATCAAGGATCAACTTTAAGCTCATATGTTTTTGCTTTAGTTATGGATGGTCTTAGTGGACATTTACATGAGGATGTGCCTTGGTGTATGTTTTTTGCTGATGATATCCTTCTCGTGGATAAGACCGAGAAAAAGCTCAGGAAAAACTTGAATTATGGAGGTCTACATTGGAGTCTGAAGGTTTTCATTTGAGTAGAACTAAAACTAAATACATGGAATGTAATTTTAGTAGTAGCAGCTCTAGTGACAGAAGTGTAACTTTGGGCTATCAAATTATTATAAGGTGTGAACGAATTAGATATCTCGGGTTTGTTGTTCAAAGCGATGGTGATATAGATGGGGATGTTAATAGTAGAATTCAAGTTGGTTGGTTGAAGTGGAGTAATGCTTCAAGCCTTTTGTGTGATAGAAATGTACCTCTTAGACTGAAAGTAATTTTTTATAAGACGATGGTGAGACCTACAATGCTCTATGGCGTTGAATGTTGGCCTTTAAAAGAGAAGCATAATAATAAGTTAAGTGTTGCTCGAGATGAGAATGATTAGGTGGTGGACGAGTGGCTTTACACTTAGAGACAAAATGTGAAATGATTATATTCGTGATAGGATTGGTGTATCCTCTGTGACGAACAAAATTAGTGAAAATCGTCTTAGATGGTGGTCGCATTTATCGTCGACCATTTGATGGTCCAATTAGGAGAGTAGATGTTTTAGATTCGACTTATGTTAAGAAAGGTAGAGGTAGACCTAGGAAGACTTGGGCTTGTTGTATAAATGTTCTTATTTTATTAGAACTAAATGAAAATATGACACTAAATAGGATGGAATGGAGAAAAAGGATTCATGTAGGCGACCACACGTAGTGGGATTAAGGCTTTGTTGTTGTTGTTGTACTGTTTTAGATATCATTTTATATGATTACTGAAATGAAATCATTTGATATATGCTAAATTTGGGGATCAACACCTATTCCATCTTAGAATGTGTCAGAGGGCCATATGCAGTAAACAAGTCAAAAGTAGCACGCTGACATGTTCACGAGCAGAATCATATAAATGATGGCCCATTATATGTTCCTAATCTTTATGCTCCTGAGAGTAATGTAATAGCATGTAGATCTTATTGTAGACGTTAGATTATTTCATGTATTTTTGTTTATTCAATTTATAATTATGATATCTTTATTTGAGGTTATTAAACCAGTGGTGGAAAGTCTGTAGGACCTGATGATATCCCAATTGAAATATGAAAATGTTTAGAAGATTTGAGAGTTTCTTGGCTTACTAAACTCTTTAATATTATTTTAAAAACTAAAAAGATGTCTGAGATGTGAAGGAAGAGTATTTTGGTCCCTATTTTTAAGAATAAAGGGGATGCACAAGAGTGTGCAAATTATAGAGAAATTAAGTTGATGTGTCATACTTTAAAATTATGGGAGAGGGTAATTGAACATAGGTTAAGACGCATTACAAAGATTTCTCATAATCAATTTAAATTTATGTCGGGCAGATCTACGATGTAAGCTATACATTTATTGAGAAGTTTGATGGAAAAGTTCAGATATAATAAGGGGAATCTACATTTGATTTTTATTGATTTAGAAAAAGCTTACGATAAGGTTCCATGAGATATCCTTTGGAGAGTTCTTAAGAAGAAAGGTGTTGATATGACTTATATTCAAGTCATTAAAGATATGTATACTAGAGCTCTTACTTGTGTTTGACAGAAAGAGGATTGACCAAATATTTTCTTATTTCTGTTGGATTACATCAGAGATCGGCTTTAAGCCCATATCTTTTTTCATTAGTTATGGATGATCTTACTAGACATTTACAGGAGGATGTACCTTGGTGTATGCTTTTTGCTGATGATATTCTTCTCGTGGATAAAACGAGAGAAAAAGCCCAGGA